ATGTCAATGCCCAGTGCATTGGCAACACTCGTCATGTCAAGCCCGAATGACTTCAGTAATTCAATGAAGTCCATTTCCTGTCCAGTGAATGGGTTGGTAAGCCTTGGGCAGGAGTGATTGCATTGTGGCCATGAGCAGCGCTCTATGAGGTGGTGAGGGCAGCTCGCTACAGCTCGCCTCAGTCTGGCATGTGTTCCTGCAATGTTGAGGGAATTGTCATCATGTGTTCATCTTCATCCTTCAAAGCAGAGTACTTTTCCAAATGGAATTTAGAGATTCAGTGGAAAAAAATATTGGGCACTTTCCGCATGTTTACCAAAGGAGTTTTATTAAAAGCATTCCTGTTATATGTAGAGAAGTGCCAATTAAATTAATATCAAATTAACACAAATTTGAATTTATACAAGAAATTTTTGTCCCCTTTTACACAAGCAAAAAAAAAAAATATTTTTTTAAACGGAAAATCAGGTCAGAACTTTCATAATAACAGATGAGATTAAAATGTCATTTGTGATCAATTCAATGAATTCAGAATGCTTCAGTATGTAATTTCTTCAAATGCGTGCCACTTTTAGATCCTGTATGAATGTTATTTCTGCTTTAAAATGCCATTTGAATAATTTAAAATGTATTTCCAAAGTAGAATATCTTTCTAAAGGAAAATATACATTGAATTTAGGAGAAATAATGTTTTTCTCTTTTTGAATATAAATGCATAGGACACCAGGGGAGAAATTAAAAGAACACCTGCCATGTCTAACATAACTCAGTAGTTTCTGTAGTTTCGACAGAGTGTTCATAAAATAACATAAATTTTTCGAAGGAATGGCCTTTCCACTTTGAAATTTTCTCTTTTAAAATCTACGACTCGAGGAAATTCATCTCTTCGTGCAAAGCGCCAAAATATAAATTCACACAGATGAACAATGTGACATCTCACCATTATTCTTCTTCTTCTTATTCTTCTTCTTCTTCTTCCCTCTGTTACTGCTCTGTGTTTTCCGTTGCCTCTGTGGTGGCACCACGCCTGAATCTTCTCCACTACGTACCATGTTTCGTGCCAGTTTCAGTGACAAGGGGACATCCCTTAACACTGTACTTCTGCAACACAATATCAGGGCCTACAGCATCATCATATTAGAAATAAAACTCTTTGGCACTGGAGCCCAAAAGTGAGCGGTGGTACAAAAACCCAATATTCTCCAGCCTACATCTCTAGATCCAAATTGTTATACTCCTGTCATTTCTTAAAACCACCTGTACAGTTTAATCCATAATATTTAATCTAATATATATCTAATTTTTGGAGGAGAGGGGGATACTGTCTTTAAATTTTCATCTATAGAAGAAATTGGAAAGTATGTGTTAATAATATGATAATATTTAGTGTTTTAGCTCAATGAATTTTGTCACGTGAGAGATGGTCCAAGACACATAAGGCTTGCACAAACATTACCGTGCTCTGTCAGACTGTGTGGATATTATTTTCAGGGATGAGTCATGACTCACTTGTGGTGTGTGTGCAACATCTCCCAGCACCGCAGGGCCTGGGGCAGTGAGACTTCGTCTATCTTGACAGACTGCCAGTCCTTCTTGGTGAGCACCGAGTGTGAGATACAGGACGGAGCAAACACGGCGCTGCTTGCAACACAACGCAGACAAAATTATAACTGAAGAACCTGAAATTCAAAGAGCATTTGTGAAGATGTGGACTGATTTAAGTCTGAGCTTGTTCACTCACGTGACATTATGGAAGGAGCTGCGCAGGCTGTCCCCCATTTGATGGATGTAGTCCCACTGCTGTTTGGTGACAGGGGCACCAACATTATCAGCCGTCATCTGCGCCTCATCAAACAGCCACTGGAACACGAAGAGGGGGGCTGAAAGAAGCAGAGGTAATTTTGTTGGTCTGACTGTATCATAGAGTTGGAGCACTTATAGCTTGCTATAAGGACTGACTTAGCACTCGGTTACAAATAGCGCCAAGGCATATTTTATTTGCGTGTTTGTTCTTTAATGAAAGACGCTGTAAGTAGCCAAGGCTGCACATTGTCAAATGGCACAAAACAGTGAGTTTAAGCTGGGTATTGAACAAGTGTCATTCACACTGTAGCCAGTCTTTGTATTGAGTGTGCTATTGCAGATCGAGTCTCTGTGCCGTAATGTTACTAATTTACTTAGCTATTCCATTAGTTACTTAACATTATTGATGCTGAACTCACATGTAAGCGTCGGATAAGCTCTGTAACCAAAGTAACACCTCCATGGCTCTGAAGGGTAGTGAGCTTGGCACTCTAGGGGCACCTGCCCCTGCCACAGCCCTATCCCTTTCCTTACAGCATCAAGGGGTGTCAGAGAATGACTGTCTTGTGAGTACGGGGCACGGTCAAGAAACCAACCCGAATCTGACACACCACGCACCATAATGTGGGAGAGCTCGTAGCCCACGTTGAGTAGGTCCGCTACTGGATCTAGGTTCACCATCACTCCTGTCCCACCGGCACTGAAAGATCCCACATGTTGTAGCCCACACAGACATTGTAATGACCCACAGGAAGTATTATGCTGTAAATTTCCTCCTCACCTGCTGCCTGCCAGCAGAAGCAGTGATGCGTTACGGAGCCCCAGTGGTATCAGGTCCTTCACCACTTGCTTCACCACTACAGCTCCCATGAAGCTGAAGTCAGCCTCCCCACTGGGTTTGGACCGTGTCCCGCTCCAAGAGTCGCTAGTACAGTATGGGACCAGACTGCAAGAACACGATCCATACAGCAGCTTAAAGTTCACATGTTTTGTGCGCCTTGCTGCAGGTGAGTAAGAGGCTGGAACTGCCTCCTTCCAGATTCCTGCTAGTTCACCATTCCTTATTGTCCTTACCTCTTCCTGTGCCGAATTCCATTACTGGGAATTCTTTGTATGTAATGTAAGAGAAACAGAGAGCCAGATAGCTCAGTCAATGCAGTGATTGACTACAGGGTGGACGAGCGGGGTTCCAGGGTCAGAAGGGTTTTCTTCTAGCCTCTGCATCGAGACCGGCTCTGGTGCCCACCCAGCCTCCTGTTGAATGGGTACGAGGGGTGAAGCGTGGCCGAAGCATGATGCTGACCACTCACCCCCATCTGGTGCCAAAGTTGAGAATGAGCAGGAGCTATACTTCCTCTCCCCCTAAGCGCCTACATGGTGTGTAGTGGGGTGGCTTTAAATTTCTTAGGGTAACAGAGGTACAATTTGTGTGTCTAATTAGACATCGTGTGTGACACTGTGATATCTGGCGCTGACTCATTCTGTCGTACAGGGCCAGAGCCTAGCTGTCGGGATTAATGTAGAAGCAGAAATGGGATATCGAGGTTTGCATGAATGGATTATGCTGTCGACAGCATCACAGGATTCCTTATTATTGTGTTATTGACATGTTCATTGAATTGAATGAGAGCAATCATCAATGTCAGACAATTTGATTCCCAGTCATCACCACCACCAGAGGCAAAGTTGATCGTGCATTTGAACTAAATTTTCAGTATTACATTTCGCATTTCTTAGTGTAATCACACGGTTAGTTTGCGTAAACATCGTGAAGTGAAATGGTGTGGTACTTGGCTGCTAAGACTTGTTGTCACGTCTGTCATTTTACACAAACAAGTTGATACGTACACATGATTGGCGTTCCACCAGAACTGGTTCTCCTCTGGATTCAGCGACAGCATGCCGCCCGCTGTACAAGAACAGTTAACATCTTTTCAGATTGTCAAGTTGCATAGTCACAGTTTCTATTTTCACTTATAATTACGGAGAAGTGACCCTGCGCTCTGTCAGCTAATGATCTGTGGAACCTGAAAGTTTATTATTACCTTGAAGATTAGCTGTGACAGTTTCTATCCAACTTTCTTCTTAGCTTATTTAACAATTTTACGCCAACTGAACTGTTCATACAGCTCTGAACGACAGCTTGTTTGAAAGATTAGCTGAAAATGTGAATGAAAGTGGTCACGTATGATTACCGTCCTGGAAGGCCTACGTATAACCACGGTAAACCTCAGCTGGGATGCGTACCCGACACATCAAACAGATTTCTCTGACATACGTACCACTGCGAGTCTCTGGCCAGTGGCGTGATGTCATGAGGTGGCGCAGTCGCTGCCAGCGTGTGTGGCAGCTCTGCTGATCATAGCAGTACCAACCTCCTGTACATAAATGAGACTGCCATTGCTGTAGGTTTTTAGCAATTCTCAAGTGCAGTCAAAAATGACAGAATTAATTAGATTTGTGGTGTTAACCAAATTTTGTTAGAATCTCAAATTTGTCGTGACGTCGTGAAGCAACGTATATATTCCAGAACATCCACATAAAAATGTCGTGCAGTTTTTTCGGAGTCATTGAACTGGCTCGTGTAATATCTATTCTTCCAGACTCACCTTCCAGAAAGACGATCCAGCGTCGGCTGCCGTGGGACCTTCGCAGGTAGAACCTGTAATGGACGTGCAGAATGAGAGAACAGTGAGCAGAGTGGCTGATAATTCATCTGTGTCCGCTGCTTTCTGTAAGTGGCGCTCCTTTCCTTACCTAATACATCTCATGATCCTCTCACATGAATGAAATTAGGCACCAAACAGAGATGATTCCTTTAATGCTGGAGTTCATTGGAATTCCAAATTGGTAACTTTCTGTTAACACTTTCAGGACCAAATACACATAAAGCTGTTCCACCTTGTCTCCCCTTTGTAGCCGTAATAATCATAAAATTATGAAGACGAGGCGCAAGGTGATACGTTCAAATTGAAATGGGAGACCATGCCATAGAATTCTCTCGTTTTCACAAACCACCTGCCGCAAAGAAAGATGTTCCACTGCACTTTAGTCTCCACAACATCTGGAAGTGCGGACTGCTTCAGTCAGTCTTCCAGTAGTTGTTTTGGAGCTGACAGCCAGGCCTTCAGACTGTTAAAATTACAAATCTAAGTTCTGATTCTGAAATTAGAATTCTGGTCTAAGGTCTAGGAAAACAAGACGTTTTAAAGTTTTCTGAGGTAACCACAAGAAGGTTCTATCTTTTTTTCCACATTATTACATGTTTATGCAAAGTGGCATTGGAACAGGATTTTCTCTGGGTCTTCTGTAGATTTGTTAATGCATCGTCTGGGGGATGGAATGTGGGCCTGTTAGTGACCCAGTTCCGCAAAGACGGTGTTATCATATTGGGACAATAAAAATGTTTGTTCAGTAATCAGCAGTGGTGGTACCACCTGTACTTAATCTTGGGATGTATTTTTGATTATCATCATACCATAAATACTATACACATGTATTTCACAAGAAATGGTTTGAGGTACAATACAGTGTTCCTATATATAAGTCATATTTTGTGATAATTTATTTCTCACACAAGCTAATGGCATTAATATATCCCCGACTTAGAATTCTCTTGTGCACCTGCTTTGTAAATAAATTCTGTAAGGCCTGTCAGAATCGAACCCAAGACATTTTCCATTTGTTGACATTTGATGTTGGAACCTAGGCGAAATTTTAATTTAAAATTCCCACAGTTACTGCGCATGCGAGAGGAAGTACTTTGCTTTGTTACGTAGTGATGTCATTGTACGGACCTAGTCAAATCAGAGCTTAAAAACAAGTGCGCATCGGAACATTCTGCGTTAAGACGTAACCAACATTGGCAGTTTTGCAGTGAACTATGCAAAGGAAATCGTGAAAAGTAACAGAAACATGAAGTGTGGCTTCAGGCAATGTACATTAAATAGTCTTCACTCGTTCGAGGGCGGAAGTGGGCCCACAGTTCACGAGGGAACCCCAAACAGCTAACATGGAAAGAACGTAAGTTGTGCAAATTATATAATCCAAAAGTCTTCTGGGTCGCTACACGTACTTACTCTCGTTCTCACGTTTAAAAGTGGAATTGTTAAAGGCAGATACTTATTATGGGAAACAGTCTGTAAAAAGACCTGATACAAACATTATAACCCAATTTCAGTTTGTCGTAGAAATCTTAAAACCCCGTGTAACTCTGTCTGACGTTGATCACAGTAACGCAACTTGGAAAAACCTTAAAACCCCGTGTAAATCTGTCTTGATCACAGTAACGCAACTTGGAAAAAAAGGCAGGTCGAAACATCACATGAACAAAAGAGTCGTATTTTGTTGTACTCTGAAGAAAAACAAGATTCAAATTTTACATGGAAACACCTTGACGGGAGGCAGATTAGTAGAAGGCAAGGTAGTATTAAAACGGATCTCAAGGACGTATGTTCGGAGGGAAAATGGCGGTCTTCCGGGGTAAATTTATATTTCAGAGAGGCTGAACGGTGCAGATTGTTTTTCTAATTTTTGTTTCTGGCCCGGAACGCATCGTGCATTGCTATTGTAAAAACGTGAAAATTTGTAAGCGAGTTCGTACGTTAGTACGTTTGCACTCACTCACCCAGCCGGCGATCCATCGTTGCACGTGACATTGGGGGAGGAGAGGTAGACTCGCTTCATACCTCGTGTTTCCTCCACTCCGCACTGCTGTAGGATCTGCAATACAATACAGGGGTTGGGAAAATGCTCAAAGTCGAACGTGGCCAATTGTTTCGAGTCTTTCACGGCCCGCAGACCCAATGTTACCCGAGACAAAAAAGTTTTAAACCTGACAGCAGCTTCGCCAGTCGGTTTGGACGGAGAACAAATAATTACACTTTGCGTTTACCTCCGTATCGACTTTAATTGATCGTGTTTAATTTTGCACGAATTTTGACGTGAAGGCAGGACGATATTTTGAAATGCATTCGAAAAAATCTTCCGTCGATAGTCCAGTGTTTCAGTTGCGGGCATTTGTTACGCACGTTGTCACATGCGAAGTGTCGCTTGTAACATAACTGCAGCAGGGCCCAAGATCCAACGCCACTGATGCCAGAGCCCGCCACTGAACACGATCCTCGCCCAGCTGCAACCACGCCCTAATCCGATCCCGGCCCGTAGTCTCCCCCCCCATTTGGGCTGCATGTTCAGCCCATCCCAGCTTCTGTGGCAATATCCCGAGAGGAGCAGAGGGTCTGCTCCTTGAGAAATTCCCCGTCCTGTGGAACGTTAATGTTCATGGCCGCGTTCACGAAAACCTATATCCTGTAGTTGTTCTGAAGTCTCCAGACCCTCTCCCCCCCAAAAAAATAAAAAAACATGCAGAGCTTTTTTTTTAACTGGAAGCTTCTCGGTCGCCAGCGGCAAACATTGACGCGAGGTCTACCGCGCGCGAGTTTGGTCCGGTTCGGCCCACGAGGTTTGTGTCTGCGATGAACAATGTCGCCTTTCGGTTACACAGAGGACAGATTCTGTATTTGTTACCTGGATGACTCTCTGGATGGTGTGCAGGGCCGAGTGTTGGCTGTCCTGGGTGACGAGGTTCGAACTCGGCGCCTCGTGTTGTTCGCTCGCGACCGCCAACAGCACAAGAGGCAGGAGAGCGATCATGACACAAACTGGAACGAAACCGGGTTCTTTTCTCTCGGGCACTCGGTGGAGACGAGTGTCGGACCCTGTGAAGGAGGAGACGGCACGCTTTAGATTGGGGCTGAGCGAAGAGGCGATGCCCTGTGGGGGAACGAACCCGGAGCTAGTCACCACGCGGACGGACCGAACTATCCAAGAAATGTTTTTGCTGGTTTGAAAACGATTTCCGGTTTGTGGTGAGAGCAGTGAGGTAATGGCCAGCCCTTGTTCTGCCACCTCATTGGCCCGTCTTGCGGCGTCTTTGTCAGAGTCTTTCAAATTAATGTCTTCAGAGAAAAGGTCTTTGGCTGGCCTGGTGGACGTTTACCGTAGTTTCAGAGATCCTTGCAGCCTCCGTCATCAACGTCGTTAAATTTCTACCTGAATCCACGGCGCCACGGCCATTTCTAAGCCCTCAGATCTTGTTAGAAAGGAAGATTCAACCTCTGAATCGCTCGTCGTCCGTGGGTGGGCCACGGAGCCCGCAACCAGAGCGAGCCATCTTGTCTCCCAGCCGTGCCTTGGTTCGAACCTCCTGACACTGTTACGCTCTGCGACGCGCGTGACGAGTAGGCCGCCATCTTCGGACTCAACGCCGTGAAAACCTCGAATCCCACGGAATTATATGAATATATTTGACCCCTGAAGGCCCTTGGCGATGGTGTGTTATATTTAATTTTGTGTTCACTTAACACATCTTTCGGCGCTGAAGTGAGTGGACCCAACAGAGCAGGTTTTATCGCCCGTAAGACGGGGGCAGAAGTACCTCCCGAAACGTCGTGAGCGACTGATCTAGTAAACAAACCGCGGAATTGAACGACTTTGCTTTGTCCGTGCACACACACGCCAGTCACGTGATCTGGCATGCCGTCAGATATTTTCGTGTGGCGCCACTGAGTTTGATGAGAACGCGCCGTTCCTTGAGCACGCAAGAAACTTCTCATCGCTGAAGGCCACAAAAGAGGCGAATGCAAGAGCTTCGTTCCCGCTTACCTGAAACTGTTTCTTCCGCTGCTCGAGTCCGACTGACGTGTGGTCTGGCTCTGCCTGATGAGTCATCGGGGGGGCCGTGGAAACAATGGAAGATCAAAGAACGCAAGCCGCCGACGGGTGTACTACCCGTGCTACAAACATCGCCTTCTTGGCCTGCGACTCATTTCGGCAGAAGGCCTAAACGTCTTCTCGTGCACGCACTGAGGACGAAACAGCTCAGTCCAGTTCGCATCCTCGCAGTGCGTGCCTGAATGCGTTAGGGTGTGAGTGTGGGAGAATATTATTAAAATGGACCTCGAAGAAGGAATGTGTGGACTGGATTCGTCTGGAAGGACGGGGACCGGTGGCGGGCTCTTGTGGACACGGCACTGAACCTTCGTATGCCATAAGAGGCTGGGTATTTCTTGAACAGCTGACTGACTATCAGCGTGTTATGAATGACTCAAGCTGCAACGTGCCCTTTCAGAATGGATGTTCGAAATCCGTCGAAGCAACTGAGGAACATTCGTCCTGCGTCAGCGATGAAATGCGTTTTGAGTACAGGGAAAGTCCCAGAGTGGAGTCGGAGAAGTCCTTCAGCGGTGCTGGGTTTGATGCTATGCGGGTCGGTTATTTTGGATTCGCGTAAGTTTGATTGGGATAAGTTACATTGGATTAGGTTGGGTTGTCCTGGAGAAGTGCTGGAAAATTCTTGGATAATATTAAAACGAATCTTCTGCAAGTAGCCAGGGCCGATAATGACATGCCGTATAAACCCAGAGGGCCAACATGTCTTCCGTTACCTGGTGACGCCGTCGAATTCATCCTGCAAAGAATTCCTGTCCTCTTCAAGGAGGGTTAGAGGGAGGAAGCTACTTGCCTCTGCCGGAAATCGAACCATTGTCGTCCAGAACCAAGGGTGTAAGATTTTGGTTTGTTTTGTTTATTTATTTATTGAAATGGCCTACACTTGGTCGACCTCTGACAGGTCCGTGCGGCGACACGTGTGGTCACTCCTTGTCCCTGAACTTCTCGAAGCCGATTCTGGCGAAGGAGCCTGCCGTCACCCCCGCGGGCATTGCATCCTCTTCCTCCTCCTCCTCCTCCTCTTCCTCTTTCCTCCTTCGCACCGGCTTGTTCTCGTTGGAGCAGTTCAGAGCGAACTTCATCTCTGAGGTCAGCGCCTCACATGGCGAGATCTGTAATTGAAATCCAGCCGTCAGAGCACGAGAAGTGACGAACGGCCTCGTCTTGTGGGATGTTGCAGCTCCTGACCGACGTTTCAGAGGAGCTTACTGTCTCCGTCGTCAGGGTACAACATCCCAGAAGGCGATCGTCGCTTCTTTGCCCCTTACGTGCAAACGCCCACTCTCACAGGTCGCTCGGTCTCCCCGCGCCGCGGCTCGGGATTTACGCTGACATGCGCCCTACGATACCTTTTCCTGGACGGCTATCTTGCGGCAGTTCCACAGCAGTTCCAGGACGGCGAAGAGAAAGGCGGTCAGCGTACCCGCGATCAGCACCACGAACACTCCGCCCACGTTAGCCAGCCCCAGCTTGTTGCTGTCTTCGTCGAGTTCGCTGGCGTCTTTCTGCGGGCAATGAAACGCGGCGAGTCACTTGTAGGCTCGTCCTTGAGACGACGCGTCTGTCACACGAGGTGTGTCACTCACCGCGGAGCACGACTCGTTGGCCGGCGCCTTCCACCACTTCTCCTTCAGCTCCTGCAACACGCCGTTCTCTTGGAGCTTCAGCAGAGCGCCGTTCACCTTGGTGCGGTACGGCGAGTCTGCAACAGAGAGCCCGCTGACGCTTCACGAACTCCGGCACGAGCGCCGCAGCGGCGCGCGGTCAGTACTCACTGACTGGCAGGCCGATGCCGTAGCCCTTGGAGTCCAGAGTGCCCCCCACCTGCTGCAGGTCGCACTTCCGCTCCACCTGGTACTCTATCGACGTGGACTCCATGAAGAACGCGTACTTGCCGTTTGCCTTCTGGACGCGTTGCACCCCGTCCTCGTTGCTGTTGACGAAGACGCTGGGCACGGACTGCGACATCGTCGTCCACATCCGCTTGTACGTCGAGTCATTCGAGTTCTGCAACAGCCGACCGCGAATTCTCAGATTCCGCCCGCGTTCAGCGATCTTCGCCGAAGCGTCCGCGGCCTCGCGCGCCTACCTTGAAGAAGCCTGCGGTGGAGCCGCCGGCCATGGTTCCGTACTTGACCTTGTGTTGTTTGGCGAGGTCCTCCGCGCTGCTTATCTCGCCCTCCAAGCGGTTTAGCGTGAGGAAGGCGGCCAGGTTGGCCGTGTAGGACGCGATCATGATGAGTGTGAAGAACCACCACATGCCGGCCACCATGCGCGTCGACACCGCCCTGCAATCATCACATGCTACAGCATCAGTGGTCCACGTTTTGAGAGCAGATTCTCTCGGAATAAATTACCCCATTGTTTCATGCACGCAGCCTCGTCACCTGGAGCGGTGCAGACGTATTTTAGCATCGAAACATGTAGCAAGATGCACCGTCCAGGGCGAAGCAGCCTACGACTAGCCACAAAGTCCTGTTCCGTATTTGCCATCATGGAACAAACCGCGTCCTGGCCTCGAGTGGCATTTTGCTCACGAAGAACACGACGTCTTGTCAGACGGGGGTTTGAGCCTACGATACAAGTTAGTGACGCATGCGCAGACACAGTTAGTTTGCCTTACTGCGGTGCAATGTCGGACCCTTGCTGCATAATAGAGCCCGTGTTGTGCCAAAGGCAGTTACTCATGGTCAGGTTGGTCTGCAAGAAGCCGTCAGTGCCTTCCGACCTGCACGGGTGCGGGTTTGTCCATTCCTTCGGCGACATCCTGAAATACAGTCACGCGTTACACAGAACACCCGCTTACTTTGGGAGGATGTCGCTGCCCTGTCCCATGAGAGACCCGATGGAAAACCAAAGGCAGTTCATGAGGTTGAACGTGTTCTCCAGCTCCTCTGGGTCCGACCTGCAGGGGTGAGGGTTGTCCCACTCGCCAGGCGAAGTCCTGCAAATCACAACACTACTACTGCACTCAGGGTTAGTGCGCGCACGCGGCCTGGTGCATCGCTCCCGTCCACCCCGTGTCACGTGTCGTCGTCGTCGCTTCTGGTATGACTTCAGGAGGTGGATTGGCGTAGCCCAGAACGGGACAACGTCTGACAGATTTCGAAAAAAGGAAACCGCGATGTGGAAACGCTGCTCGTTATTTACGTGACGTTTGTCAGGAACGCACGTGACAACGCCTAATATATCGGCCCTTTATTCACGCGAAACGCGTCCTGCGCGGAGATGATGACAGCGGTGATCGGCTCGAGGAGGCAACGCTCGCCGCACCCACGTGTTTGATGCACCAGGCCCGATACAGTTTGTTACAAGCAGTTTGCAATATGTACAGCTCTCTACGACTTATACTGCAACATAACTACAACATGGCGGGCTTTGAAAGCCGCCTCTACACCAGGTGCCTATTACTACTGCAGAGTTTGCGTAGTGAGGCCAAGAATCTACTGGTTCAGGAGGAATTCTAACCTACGGCTCACCATTAGCTACTGAGTACTACCACAGTGAAGTGAGTGACAAACGAGGATCACCTGGCGAGCACGAAAAGCAGGATGGACACGCCCAGGTACGCCGTGGCCACGTAGATCCACACGTCGACGGAGAACGGGTCCAGAAATGCGAACAGACTGGCATCTTCCTTGACAGGCTTGCCGTAGAGAATGCTGATACCTGTGTGCGCCAAATGCCGAGTTCACACAAAAATTGAAACAAGTTTAGGGCAGGAGACGCCGTCTTTGAAGCTAGAACTGAGGAAACCTGCGTCGCCCTGAACCTCGTGTCTGCAGAGAACTCAGAGTGTTTAAACAGTGGGTCGGGAGGTCCCGGATTCAAGTCAGGGTTCGGAGGCCCGCTGTCCTGACCGAGGTTCCCGCGGTTTTCCTCAACCGTGCAAGAGACATGCCGGGGTTTGACGTCGAGTTAAGCGACGGCCGCTTCCTTTGCGTCTGTTCAAGAACGACCTGTAAATTGACATTTGTACGCAGATGTTCTGCTGTGTTTTCAGCAGCAAATGCGGTGAAATGTCTTGGACTGGAGGGAGTGACGCGCTCGAATTTGATTTATTCTCATTTGTCCGTTTCCCCACCCTCAAAATGCCCACCCCTGAGACTTTGCAGTGTCAAAAACAAAGGGCTTAATGTTTAATGATGTCGCGGGCAACGGAAATTTCGAGACTGCGTCCGCTCGTCTGACATGAACGGACTCGCTGGGCGGGATAAACCAAAGGAAAGTACAGGAAACCCGCGACCTGGGAAAGTCGTCGGATTGCGCTCACCAAGGTTCATGAACGGCATCGTGAAGTCGATGAGCTTCTCCCGCTCGTGCGTTATGGTCAGGTCACAGATGGCGAGATCCGCCGTCTGGAACAACGAACGCCGCGCGTTAGGACCTCGACTCAGAAACTGCGCGCTGCAGTGCCGGTCCCCGAGAACTCACCCTGGCAATCAGGTTGTTGACCAGATCCGCGTGTTTGTTGCTCTCCACGAGTCTGAACTCTAACTGGAAGCCCACGATTTCGGCGATTTTGCCCATCAGGTCAACGGAGTAGCCGGCGTAGCGCTCGTTCCCCTGCAGCTCCCCTCTGGGTTCGACTTCCGTCAGGAAGGGTTCGCCCTGCGAGTGAGAAGTGGCGTTTCGAGATTAATTTACCAGGACACCGAAGGAACATGTCCCAGTCCTGGGCGCAGTGCCGGATGCTCCGATGAAACAAGTGCGTAACGCATGGCCGAAATGAGGTTGGTCGCGGAAGGCGTTCGACAGAGAATGTGAAACGGTTCTACCATGCGAAGACTTAGTAGGAAGTCTTATTCACGTGTTTTCATGTGAAAGTACTTCTGAGTGACGTAACTCACGATTCTAGACGCGACGATGAGTTTCTTCGACTGCAGAGACTTCTGAATCTCCGCCTCCTTCTCAGTCTCGGACTGGGTGCGGTTGACGCCGTGTCCCGTTTCCCACCAGCCCACCTTCCTGAACTCGCCCGTGAAGTACTGCACTACGTACAGCTTGAAGCGTGTCCGTCGTCCGGAGTCGTCGAACCGGATCTTGCCCGTCATTCCGTCCATCTCGCTCTGCGGGAAACAAAAACGGATCAGAGGGTGGTCGAACGGAGGTCCGTTCACGTGGCCGTCACGTACTTACGATCTTCATGTAGTTGGCGAGCGGCAGGCCGTAGATCCACTTGTGACGATCGTCACACTCCAGGGACTCGACGCTGAAGCTCTGATTGACGTCGAAGTAGCATCGGTGAAGCGCCCGGGCGAAGAGGAACACGGCGTCGTGCATGAGCGCCGTCTCAGTCTGCAACAGTACGTCACGTCACGTCACGTCACAGAGCAGACTGGCGTAGAGGCAGGTGGCAGTGACGCCTGTCGGATACCGACCCGCACTGTTTCTGCCGTCACCCCTAGAGACCTCCGGTGGTAGTAGTAGTACTTGTCCGTCCAGTAATTCACTGTGAGCTCGACGTTCATGTCCTCGGGGTTCACAATCTGCAAGAGCGTGAAGTTGGTTTGGCCCGGCTCGAACTCGCTCAGGTCGAGAGTGTGTGTGTCCTGAAACAGCAGCGGAACGAGCGTCAGGCGTGTGGCTGTGACGTGGCTCTGACGTCAGGACAGCGTCGTGGCACTCACCAGCGACGTTATGAAGTAGCTGTGATAGACGCTGATCAGTTTCACGTCTCGCGCTTGCTGGAGGACGTCGAGCACGCGGTCCGTGGCGCAGTCCAGCAAGATGCGGGTCTCGTTCGACGCGTTGATCTCCTTCAGGAGCTTCCTGGAAACAGAAGAGACGCGTGGTACCTGGTCCTTTCCTGGTAGAAGTCCGGTCCGTGCAAAAGAGGTCACTCACCTCTGGTCCTTGCCTGGCACGAACTGTCGTACGATGATCTTTCGATCCTCCAGTCCGTGCGCCTTGAGTACCTCTTGGAGGCGAAGCAGCCCCTCGTCAGACTCGTACAACACCGTGAAGGCCGACCAGTGCAGAAAGTTCCGGACCACGTCAGCGATGGCCTGCGAGGGAAAGCAGGCCGATGGTTACGCGACGCTACGCGCTTTGCGTGTCTGCGTGTGTGTCATTGCGTGACTGCGCGTCTCTCGTACCTGGGCCACGGACTCCTGCGCGGGGTAGAGGCTAATGACGCAGCACCCCGGGTGCTGTTGCACCTCGGGGTAGATCTGCAGGTTCGGCACCTCCATCGTCTCGCAGATGGACTGCACGATGCCGGTCGAGGCGGGGGCCCGCGGGCCGATGACGGCTGCCACTCCCTCGCGTACGGCACCGCACACTGTGGCACAAGATCAGTGTTCAGGGAGGCTGTGGTCCGCCGAACGCGAGACGTGCGGCTCTTGGGCTCAGGGTTACCTCGCTTTCCGGTGCTGAAGCTGTCGGCCTGGGACAGATTCAGCTCCATCAGGGACAGGTTCACCCCGGGCAGCAGCTCGTGGTCCGCGTTGATGTACTGAAGCGCGTACTTGAGCGCCACGTGCTGGAAGGGGTAGTCCTCGGCGTGGAACAGCGCCGCTGGAACAGACCGTGAATTCGCTCGAGGTTCTCGTCAGGCACTTCCATTCGCGTTTGATCTCGTGAAGGCGATGAAAGGGAGACAGAAGGACGTGGCGGGTGCGAGTTTGGAGAAAGCAACACAGAAAGGGCGGAGACACCGGAAAATGAGAACGAAATTTAATTATTTTAAGCGTTCACAGCCTCAGCGACGATGATTGTGCCCCCTCTCCCCCCGCCTCCGCAGGGACTGAATCTTGGAATCGTTCCCGAGGGGGGGGGGGAGGCGGCGCGCCAAAAATAGGCAACTGCGCCTCAGCTGCGTCAGACCCAGACGGGCTCATCCAGAGACTTGAAGAGCCTGAGGAAAAGCGTGGGAGAAGAGCGGCCGGGCGAATTTACTGGAGCGCGTCTTCGTGAAATTGAAGCTGGTCAGTGCTTCGTGGAGCCGTGCCTTCACGTCTTGGATGATGACAGGGACAGCTCCACGTTTCGCGACCAATCTTCCGT